TACAATATATTACCAGAAAAGATTGGCATAGGCGAGTTTCTCCACCCATGTGCAAGCACGCACGACTATGGCGTGATGTACAGCCCGTGTGCGCAGTAGCAGTAGCAGACACCGTCCTTAATTGAGAAAACATTGTGTTAATCTGTGAAACAAAGACAAAAATATATTCTATTAACTGCTAAATTCAAAGACTTTCGAGGCAGAAATCGAATGGATACTAAGACTTAAATACTGACAATAACTCATTCAATCATAGAATTTATAGTCGCTACTTCTCTTCTCATAATTTCAAAAAGTACAGCAATGGTTTAACGAAGGAGCAATTAGAATCTAATTCTATTAATTTTTAATAATAATATTGGTAGTTTAAGGAAAAATCTTGAATAACTTGTAACTCACTATCTAGAAAATCAAGATTTCCATTTCGATATTATTGGAATTACTGAGACGGAAATTACCAACAAAAATCAAAACTTTGTTGCCAAAATTCCAGCTTACGCTTTTGAGCACGTGTCCACACCACTGGCCCCTGGAGGTGTTGGGCTCTTCATAGATAAAAACCTTAACTACAAAGTGCTTGAAAAGGAGTCGCATGAAACCTTTCAGCATTGTGGATCGAAATTTCTTTTAGCAAACAGAGGAATGTCATATGCGGCATCATTTATCGCCGACACAATTACCCAGATTTTTCTGTTGAATATTTTAGTGACACAATCGAAAAGCTAGCTTCCACAGGAAAAACAATCTGTTTTAGTGGCGATTTCAACCTATGTCTGTTGAAGACTGAGAAATCTCAATACAGCCAGGACTTCTTACTGGCCCCTACAAAGCAGTTATCTCCTTCCAACTATTAGTGGAAATATTATCACTGACGTTTCTGATAATTTCTCTCAGTTTTGCATTTTGACTTCAAGAAGAGAGAAAGTTGCTAACAAAGCAACAAAGAAACGCGACTTCTCAAACTTCTCCTCTGTGCGGTTTAATAATGATCTGTCAATAGTCGACTTGATTATATTGTAGTATCAAAAGCAAATAGCGCTGACGACCAATTTTCATCTTTTTATTAGCAATTAAATAAAGTCGTGCAAAAACATGCGCCTTTGGAAGTTGTATCAAAACGTAAAATTAAACAAATCGCAAAACCATGGATAACAAAGGGAACAAGAACGTTAATTAAAATAAAGAATAGGTTATATCAAACTGGAAATTGTAGCTAATGTAAATCTTATAGAAATAAAATCATCACCCTTACGCGTTTGAGTAAAAAGCAATATTACTTTGATTTTTTTTAATGAAAAGGTAAAGAATATGGAAAAAAAAACATGGTAATGAATCAATGAATTGTTAAACAACCGTAACAAATATCATGAAACGATGCCGACATTAAAAGACCCAAGTAACAACAACCAAGTTACTAATGCCCCGTCACATATACCAAGTATTCTAAATGAACATTTCGCAAGTGTTGCTACCAAACTAGCATGTAAACTACCCACCAAAAGCAATCATAGGGGTTATCGCAAGAAATTAAAATCACCTGATTCTTCCTTTTTTTCCAAACCGATTTCCCCAGATGACGTTAAACAAGAAATTCTATCGCCACCAAACAACAAATCGTGAGTTTTATACTTTTGTCTACCCAACTTCTTAAATATTCGTGCGATATTTTATCTCCTGTCCTTTCGAACATTTTAAATAGTTCTATACTTCTGGTGTTCACCCATCAAAACTTTAGATCTCCAAAATCACAGCTATCTTTAAAAATGAAGACGGACTGATGCTTCTAATTACCAACAAATTCCTCTCTTGTCAAATTTTAACGGAATATTTGAAAAGCTACTGTATTACAGAAAGAAGGAATTTATTGACAAAAATTAGTTAATACATTCCTTACAGTATGGCTTCCGTAAGGCACGCTCCCCAGATCATGCAATCCTTGACATTGTGGAAACTTTACAGAACAATATGGATAAGCATTATTTCTCGTGTAGTGTTTTCATTGACCTAAATAAAACTTTTGACACTGTCAGTCACTAAATACTACTTGATAAACTTAATTTTTATGGTTTTCGAGGGATTATCGACGAGTGGCTCCAGCCGTACTTAATAAATCGAACGCAAACAACTCAAATTGGATCGCACGTATCAACTAAACTACTTTCTCCTTGTGGTGTCCCTCAGGGTCCGTTTTAGGACCACTTCTCTTTCTACTTTATATAAATGACATTCACCACTGTTCCTTTAAACGCCAATTTTTCTTATTTACGGATGACACTATATTCTCTATGCTGACAAGGACCTCAAGTCTTTGGAACAGACGGTCAATGCTGATCTGAACAATTTACATGACTGGCTAACTACAAATAAATTGACTTTGAATACAAAAAAATCAAATCCTGTAATTTTTCGCCCTTGACAAAAGAAAATCCATCATCTTCCACACCTAAGTATATTTGATAGTGAAAAAATAGAAGAGTCAGCTTGGAATATGATACTTACTTTAAGTATTTAGGTGTTTTGGTCGATGAAAATCTTTCTTGGAAAAACTATTTGGACTGTATTATCACTAAAATAAGTAAGACCATAGGAATGATTGCTAAGCTGAGACACTTTGTTCCAACATCTGTACTCACAAATAGTTATAAATTCTTAATTTTAACTTATTTAACTTACGGATTCGTTGCTTGGGGTTATGCGTCTAAAAACTATCTAAATAAAATTTTTGTTCTCCAAAAGCGAGTATTACGTCTTATCTACTTTGTTGATAGAAAACAAAACGCAATCCCCTTAATTATTTGTAAATGCGAAAATTCTGCCTATTACCTTCTTAGAGCGCAGCTCGCAGAGCGTAGCCCCATGACTATACAAAATAGTACTAATAGTAACCCATCAAGCCGAAATAATTTGGTTGTACGACCGTACGACCGTACGACCGTACAAGGTGCTACTTTTAGCATGCGCGGCCAACCGTACCACGGGCACTATCTTAGCCATTACGTAATGGAAGGGCGAGGGAGAAGGTAATGCGCAGGCGCGATTGCGTGCGTAACTTGGATACCCCATCAGTGTGCGCCAAGAGACACTGTCAGATGACGATAAAGTGCGTCGTTAGGCATTGCACGAGGGCTTCACGTGAGCTAGTAGATGAAATTTGCTACCCGCGTTTTTAGCGGGAGTCTGAACTAGTCAGGATGTAGTTGAACAGTAATTCTCAGTATTTTGCAATTTCTAAACAACTCGTAAGACAACAATACCGGCAGAGTTTAAGCTTTGTCAACTGGAAGAAATTGGTATAATTCAAGTTCGTGGAGAGTTGGTTTTATTTGAAAATAGGCTGGATATAGCGACCAAAGAAAGCAACAAGTAAACGACGTAAAGCGAGTCCAGAAAATCGCGCAAGAAAGTTACAAAGGACGCCAAAATAGGCAGAATACGGCGAGAGGAACACGAAAGAGAACAATAAAGGGCATAAGTAAAAAGGCGTGTTTCTAGCAAAGAGCAAAGCGAGAAGGAAATACAAGGTCGCTTCTGAAAACAGACTGAAAAGAGGTCATCAACAAAGAGAAGCGAACTGCAAAGGATCCGCGAAAGAAGAGAAGGTAAGTCGTGTCCTATCTGGGTTTTCTCTTACGCTAAGACCCAGAAAAAAATTCAAACTTTTTTTTTTCTAATCGTCGTTTGATACTAGCTTCAGTTTTGAATTCAACTGATCACGTTTCGGCTAAACATCGACTCTGGCAGTTCATCGGCTAAAAACTCTTACGCCGGTTCATTGCGCGAATAATATTGCATAGTGTTCGTATTCTTCAAGTTATTTCTTGTCCTTTCGTTTGAAAGTTTAATACAGTCCTGGTGTTATGGGAAAAGAAGTTATCTTACGTATTTTTTTTTGCCTAGAAAGTTTCCAAATGATGTCGAACAGCGAGCGCAAGTTTCTATTTTTTTTTCTCTTCATTTAATTATCGCAGGATTTACTCTGTTCATTTGAAAAATTTTCGCTTTGCCGAAGATGTGTTGTTTTACCCTAAGAACGAAGTAATGGCCTTTCCCAAAATTAAAATAAAATGGGATTGAGTAAGCGATGTTCATGTTTATATTAAGTCGAACACGGTAATTTGACTTTGACGATATTGTCATGTGAGAACCCGTCAAACATCTGAGAATCAAATTACGGACTGCAAATGTGTGGTGCAAACAAACTCACGGGTAAAATGGAGATGGTTCTACAGCGGGATGAGTGAATTTAAATGTTTGGTTGTCGTACTTTTCAGCGCTATGTTTTCATGCTTTGTACTCGATTCGTTCGAACTTCAGGAAATGGTTTGTGTCACAAAACATGGAGTCACTTTCTCTTCGCTCAACATCTGGAGGCGTTATGATGAACATGCATGCGATACGATATTTTTTTCCTTATGCTGGAAACTGAAGAATTAATCTCTAAAGTTGGTAGTATTCACATTTTGCAAGATGCGTCCGAGCTGTGATCGTGCAATTAAACGGGGTTCTGGCAATTTGACCTCACAAGCGCGCTGATAAGCACATGGTTCGCGTAAATAATTGTTGTTTACAGTTATCGAACTCAAGAGCAGTTTTTGAGAGTCTGTTTCTGTAACCTTCCTGGATATTTTCTGTTAAATTCATTGATGTTTAGTCTCAGAATTTCATAAGCGATTATGAATGATAGATTCGTACCGGCACCATAATTTAGGGAAATTTTGTCAACAAATTAACTGTTTACAATTCGCGAACCATTTCTGCAACCTACTTGGATATTCCCTCTTGGAGTAATTGAGTCACACCCTCGGAATTTCATTGGTAATTAAGAACGACAAATCCGTATATATAGCACATGTGAAGCACAACGGCCAATTCAGACTTTCCTTTAGCTGAACAGTTAAATCAAACTGCACCTCTTTACTGGCAACGTTATCTAGAATTTCTGGATATTGCTGTTCTGTGTATTGACTGGCTGGGGAGGATATTGTCTCAGCATGATTCACATTTAAAGTAATTGGCTGCAATTTCTTGCCCTCATATTTCAGCTCAAATTTACCATTCCTAACCCCTCTGGTATTGATGTTGCCAAGAAAGTGACTCAGAGTCTGGTCTTTAGCAACCTGCCCCCCCAAACTCTGCTGGCCTTCGAGGTTCATGCAGCTCATGCATCGATCAAAAACCATGTGTTCAGTCGTTCTGCAAAAGCAGTGATTTGTATCGGGTATGTAACAAGAGGTTGGGAGTGAGGGAAGAAGTGATTCAGGATGCTCTCGCTCAATGTTACGGCCAACCTCAGATCGAAAACCAGTGCTGTTACCAACATCACTCCTTGTTTCCTTTGTTTCATAGTTGTACATGTTGAACGAGTCAGTGCTTGTTGAATCCAAGCCCCCACCCAGCAAGTTATCAGAAAACTTGGAATCACAGGATATAAATATTTTGTGTCCTCTCGTCATCATTGAATCTGTCCATGCATTCAGGCTATCTGGCTTAACAGGATCCCCAAGGTTAAGTTCTAAGTTGAGTCTAGTGTCCTTTCCGTAGAAAATGTAAAGGGGCCAGTACTCATCTGGGCTGTGATAGCTAAAGCCATGAAACATGGCTTCATTGTTTAAGACATTCAATGTCAATGCAACACTGTCATTTCCTCCAAAGTTCCTACCGTCTCCATAAATTTTCCACCACTCAATAGGTGGAAGCCACCAGTACAAGTGAAGTAAGGTTTCCCTGAGCCGATCCGGATTTATTCGCCATCCTGAATGTGTTCTTTCGGGTTTCCAAACAACTTCAAACTCTCTTCGAAACTTTGCCTTGAGGGAGTTAACCTTGCGTTCTGAATCAAGGAATCTAGGTAGTCTTCTTCTCAATGCACGGATCATCAGTTGGGTTAGTGGTGTCTTGAAGATCCAGTACTTCAATAGCTGACAAATGATGGTGAGCAGCAGCATCTTCTTCTACTATAATGTCATAAACAGGCTTCCTTGTTTTAGGATCATGGGATTTTTTAGCCAAATTTACAACATCTTGTGGGGATAAAGTTCCATCCCAGTTATTGTTACCATGGTCTTTTTTACTAGTGACTGACTCTGCCAGCGAGGCGATAAAGTCATTCTTGGAGCCATGATGAACATTCTTTGCCAGCTTTGTTAGTTCATCTTTTTGCAAGTTCAAACGACGGGCCACCTCTCTAGATGTAAACTTGCGTCCCCCATCCTGCTTGTTTCTAACAGCTTGTTGACGAGATAGAAGATCTTCAGTTGCAATCCATTTTGATTTCAATGGAGTTGTGATCGGCTCCAACAGGCATGCAGGAGGGCCAGGAACAGTGGAATTTACGGGGGTTGTCAGCTCCAACAGATGTGCAGGAGGGCCAGGAACAGTGGAGTTTACGGGGGTTGTCGGCTCCAACAGATGTGCAGGAGGGCCAGGAACAGTAGAGTTAACAGGAGTTGTCGACTCCAACAGATGTGCAGGAGGGCCAGGAACAGTGGAGTTTACAGGAGTTGTCAGCTCCAACAGGCATGCAGGAGGGCCAGGAACATTGGAATTTACGGGGGTTGTCAGCTCCAACAGATGTGCAGGAGGGCCAGGAACAGTGGAGTTTACGGGGGTTGTCGGCTCCAACAGATGTGCAGGAGGGCCAGGAACAGTAGAGTTAGCAGGAGTTGTCGACTCCAACAGATGTGCAGGAGGGCCAGGAACAGTGGAGTTTACAGGAGTTGTCAGCTCCAACAGATGTGCAGGAGGGCCAGAAACAGTGGGGCAAGGATATGCGGAACTGTCTCTATTGGCTTGTTGTTGAAGAGATTCAGATGTGGGAGCAACATTTACAAGTATGTCTACCAACTGACACCGCAAGTCTCTTGCTGCTGCAGCTTCTTCGCCCTTCCTAGCACTGCTGAAGTTGAACAGCACCAATATTGCTGCCTTACAGGACATGTGGGTGCGGAGTTTTGCTGACCCATTTTTTAACAGATATTCATCTTGTACAACTAAACCTTAAGGGGACAAACCAGAATTTAAGTTATGACATCAGTGGGCAGTGATGCTGTGTTTTTAGAAAGCTAGCATTTTAAATTCCTGTTGTAATTAAATTCCTGTTGTAATTAAATTCCTGTTGTAATTAAATTCCTGTTGTAATTAAATTCCTGTTGTAATTAAATTCCTGTTGTAATTAAATTCCTGTTGTAATTAAATTCCTGTTGTAATTAAATTCCTGTTGTAATTAAATTCCTGTTGTAATTTATAAGGGAACCCATTTTGAAAGTAAATTTTCCAATAACTTAATCAAACAGTTGTTTTCCTTTCACTCAGGTCAGGACTGTTATTTTAAGCCTCCCTTTTGCAAACTTGTAAAATATCATTTAAATCTTTGATCAAAACTACCTCAGGCACTTTAGGTTAGAGCATATAAACTCAACTGAGCTGATGAAGTCTTTTAAGCACTGGACAAAACATCTTAGAAATTTGGCAGAAATTAAAGTAAGCTCTAATGTAGCATTA